ATATTAACCCTATGATATCGTGAATTTCTGTATTGTGCATCAGTACCGCGTTTTTTAAATAAAATCAGAATTGTTCTGCTCGCTCTCTGATTCTTTCTGGTCATTCGGTGCTCGATCGATGCATTTATGTTGCATTCTTGATACAACTATAATGAGGGGCTACCACGATAAAAACTCTATGCTCCAGAAGCAATCGGTTTGAAAACAGAATTTCAAAATATTTTATGAATCAGATTTTCAGATTCAATTAAGTAGATATGGTTTCTTTTATACTCTTTTCGTTTTACCCTTATTAAATATAAAATATATTAGGTACCAATATTCAAAATTAAACTTATTCTAAGTTTTCAGACAAAAATAAAACAGAAATAAAAATAAAACCGTCAAAAACGCAACGTATAGATAAACTAGACGCGTGACGCCAAAATCCCGCCACATGGGAAAAAAGAAACATGAAACGTCAAACGTGATATAATTTTTTTTAAATAAATTATGTAATTTTATTTTTCACGTACAATATTTTTGAGGGTCTGAATCCAACCCTGGCTTCATATTGGTAACGTAACTAAACTAACTAAAATAAAACTAAAAATGCGTTCATATAATAATTAACCGAAGATGCGACATCCCATGTTCCTTTTTAATCTTCGTATCGTAATTTTTGCATTCTTTTACCACGCAGCTTGACATATTTACGACAGACAAATCTGTCCTGCGCGCGCACCTCTGTCGACCGATTCGCGTTGGCCCTAAACTGTAATTTTAGGCACTGGTCCGTTTTAGTTGTTCGGTCGTTCGATTTTGCTTCTCAATTGAGGATAAAGGTAGATGGATGTAGGTATATATATATTGGCTACGGCATAGACTTGTCATCAGGTGGACTTTGTGATCGTTTGTCACCGTATTCTATATAAAAAGTTATAATCTACTTCTATTGGTTAGAACTAAAAGAAATATATTTGTACACTGCACTGTGGTAGAATACACGATACCTGCTGTAAATTTTCCTAAATTACCTCCCTGTATTCACAAATAAATAAATGAATTTGAATTTGACAAATCGTGAATATTTCTAGCGAAATAACGAATACCGTCACTTATTTCGATCGAGATATTTATCGAAAAATGTGACACGTTCCGCCCGCTTGAGCTAGTTATTCGCGACTAGGGTTGCCAACTCTCTTTTTATGTTTAAGATGATTTAAAAAGATTAAATAAAGGGCATAGGGTGAAAATAGAGGATATCATATTGTTTTCAGTGCAATGCTGTTATGGTATCAGTATATGTTACATAATTTGTCTCTTTAGTCCCGCAACGTGATTTATAAACTCTTTGACTTCAACTAGCAATAGGAATGTCCTCTATTTTTTTTAAAATTAGAAGTTATAAGATTAGATAAGAAGAGATAAGATCAATTTTTGGGTGTGAAATGGAGGACGATATTTAAAATAAAGGATGGCATGCCGCTTTTAAAGGTTTTAAAATAAAGGGAAAGAAGATTAATATTGCTTACATTTGTCGACTTTGCTCACGTATAAACTACTACTTCACTTGTATGTATCTCGCGTGTTAGACACGTTTATTATATTAAACACATAAAAGACATAAAATCCATTAAAGTGAAAGACATCTGGCAGCCCTAGTCGAGACGTACGTCGAAACATCATCGGCATACACAAACTTGTCCGTCCGTCCGTACACGGAATGCGACCGGGCGAGCAGATGTTCGCCACTACTGAAACAATTCCACGATATTTACTAACTGGTTCGGTTACCGGGCGGGGCCGTGTCTAGTGGTTGATTAGAACGCACTAAACATCGAACCGGTGACAGCCGAGGAATGTCGCTTTTAGTGCACGCTCACACGTTTTAGTGATCTTAATGCGTGTCATGAGATTACTGTAATCTATAAACTTCCCATGCCCTAAAGTATAGTTTAGTGTGTGTTGTGTAGTTTAGGTTGTGTGTGGAGCAGAGGCGATCGCCGTGCGCTTCGGCTGGCAGACTTTAAGACCGAGAACAGAAAATAACAGAAAATATTTGTTAGAGTAGTAATTAATGATCGCCAAGAAGACCTTTTGCTTTTCTCTTCTAGATCTTTTTGCGGCTTGCGGCGGAAATGTCTTTTTTTATAGAATAAGGGTGATAAACACGCAGTCCACATGATGGTAAGAAGATAGTGTGAACAATAGATATCTACATCCATCCTCCATTAAGAATCAAAATGTGTGTTTTCGCCCCTGAAGGCTAAGCTAAGATGGAATGCCTCATTTCTAGTAAAAAGGTTCTCTACACTCACTATACGAAACAAAGCAGCATTTAAGCTGCTATTTTACGCTGGTATTCTGTGAGAATACCAGCGTAAAATAGCAGCTTAGTGTGGCAGAATATGAGGTTTACGTATGCCGCCTGTGAAGGCTCCTTCGATCGTCGCGGCAAATAAAATGCTGTTTTGAATTTTTTGGTTTTATTTCTGTGGCCGATGAAAGAGAAGGGGAGATCTCCCGCCGGGCAAGGTGTTCTGCCCGAGGATCGGCCAACGCTCCGTGTGATAGTTCGGAGATGTTCTATTTTTTTTTTTTTTTATAGGATAGGGTGACAAACGAGCGCACAGTCCACCTGATGGTAAGTGGTTGCTGTGGCCCATAGATATCTACATCTATCCTCGATTACGAATCAAAATGCAAATGCGTTGTCAGCCGTGAGGACTAAGATGGAATGCCTCGTTTCCAGTAAAAAGGGTCTCCGGTTCTCTACACTCACCATACGAAATACAGCAGCATCAAGCTACTATTTCACGCTGGTATTCTGTGCGAGCGTGGTCCTTCCCCGGTCGAGCCGACCCATTCGTGCTACAACTATACTACTAATATAACTGCAGCATGGCTCTACCACGTATACTGTTTATGATTCGGAATTTTGATAGCGTGATTTAGGCTTCGGTGTGTTTCGCTTGCGGCGCGACGACAGCGCCGACACATTTCCTATAACTTATATTAATTTTAATTAGTAAATACTAGTGTAGTGGCGGTGTAAGAATATCCACTACCCCATATCATACCGTGCGTGTCGTAAGAGGTGACAGCGGGAAATCGGATATGGGCAGCAGCGTCTACTAATAAAAACTGGAACAGCGGTTGCCAATCCGCTTGACAATTGTCGCAACTGTGGCAAATGTCTTCCCTATGAGCCAATCTATGGGAGAGGCCTGTGCTCAGCAGTTCAATAGCCTGTAACGGTAACGGTGTAACGGAAGTTTGTGATAGTTTTCCGGGTATTGTTTCAGTTCCACAGAAAATACGGAACGTTGTAGTCACCTACACACTAGGGCAGAATGGCTACCTTGTGTTCATCGCATTACTACACATTAATATGTAAACGTCCGTAAGTTTGCCCAATAGCTGTGCGGCAGCTGGACGAATTCTAACGCAGCGGCAGTACGGCTTATGAGATGAAAATTAATCATATGATATGTTTAAAATATTAACGAATGTAGTTATAATTAAGATACAGCGCATTAAAGCGCGGCTGTGGTCGTAAATATAGCATTGGAAATACACTAAAAGAAATTTTTAAATTACTGTTAAAAATTACGTCATCGCCTGGCAAGCGGATTGGCAACCATAGTTCTTTATTTTTAGTCGTTATTAGGAAGACGCTGCTATCATCTCCTGATTTGTTTCCCTCTGTCACCACGACACCCACGGGATGATATGGGATAGTAGATATTCTTACATCGCCACTACACCATAAATAGATACTTTTGCTTGCAATGAATTTCAAGCTACAAAAAATCAGGTGTTACTTTTTGTTTGTATTCTTGTAAATTCTACCTTAATATAGCAATTTTGCATTACTTAATGCAAATGTAAAACATATCAAAAGTTTAAAAAAAACCTAATTATCAATGTATAATATAATTTATCGGCTAAGGACTCTTGCATTGAATAATAGTAACCTTTTTCTCTTGATCTTTAAAGTTTATCTTTTGTACAATTTGGTACTTTATTGAAAATTTCTTTATCAATGAAATTTTATAATATGCTCTTGTACACAAAATGTTGTGTTACTGTGAACTCACACATATTTGTATTTCGTATTCTAATTTAATAAAAGCAAATAGATATTTCTTCGCTTTCAAAAATGTGAATAATTACTGAATATAAAGGTATAGGAGGAACGCAATCTCACGGAGAACAAATATTATTTTTTTCTAGTCAATTCCTGTCAAAACCTTCCCGCTCGCGCACACAACAACTCATCAAAATTTCATCGTCATAGGATATACAGTATAGGAATATATACGGGACAAAGAAACAATTATTTTTCTATAAACGCCAGCCACCCCAAGTGGCTTCGCCTGGATTTAACATTAAAACCATTTATTTTTTAAATTTGTAGTTCGTTTCAAAAAAAATATAAACGAGAGAAAAAATATTTAGCTTAGTTTCGTTTTACTCCTGATATTGTTTTCTATCTTTTCGTGATATTTCATTACATATACGTGGTATAGCCACGATGCGACTATATTATATTTGTAACACGTTTGGGTAAGGACCACGCTCTCACAGAATACCAGAGTAAATTGTAGCTTTACTGCTGTGTATCGTTTGGTGAGTGTAGAGATTCGGAGACTCCTTTTTACTGGGAATAAAGCATTCCATCTGACTCCTCAGGGGTGACAACGTATCTACGTTTTTATTCTTAAGCGAGGATAAATGTAAATGTCTATAGGCCACAGCTTCCTCTTACCATCAGGTGGACTGTGTGCTCGTTTGTCACCCTTATTCTATAAAATAACCACTAGTAGCCCGGACAGACAGACAGACAGACAGACAAACAAACAAGCAAACATTTTTAAAATGGTTATTCATACCTTAATATCATGCAAATATTTCTCTTAGCTCAAAATAAAACAGTTACTTCAAAATTACAAACACTCCAATTTTATTTACATGTATAGATATAACACTTAATTACGTACAATAGCATAAGTGCTTTACTTCCGCGGCTTATTTTTTAAGCTGTTTGGTTTACCAGTTAGATTTTCGCTTGCAGCAATGTTAATTTTAGCAAGTTTCTGATAATTAAAGATTTTAATTAAAAAGTAAATTGTTTTCAATTTGTAAAAGCGCTTTCTAACAAATATGTAATTTTATTACTTGAAAATAAATCACTGCCGTCCCCTTTTTTTAATAATAATAATTATTTACACCAGTTTTTTGTAAGAATGTCACCATTGAACGCCAGTATTTTTATGACCGTTTACAGTACGGTATTCTTTTGACAATAAGGGTTATAAACGAGCACACAGTCCACCTCATGGTAAGTATAATATATATATATATATATATATATATATATATATATATATATATATATATATATATATTACTATAGGAATCTTCATTTATCCTCAATTAAGAATCAAAATGCAGATGCGTTGTCACTCCTTAGGACTGAGATAGAATACCTCGTTGCCAGTAAATAGGGTCTGCGATTATCTACACTCACCATACGAAACACAGCAGTGTTGAACTGCTATGCATTCGTCGTGTTTTAATTTGATATTCCATCAAAAGTTCACTTGAATAACCCATTAAAATGAGAATTTTTTCTAGGTCCGCTGCTTTTTTAAATTATTTTGAGCTGTTATCAGGAAAATGCTCCTATCCTGATGTTGTACTATCTCTTTAGCATCTTACGACACCTACAGGATGATATGAGGCAGTGCAATCTCTGACATTGCCCCTACGGCATATACATGTGATGTGTCGGCTCCCTGTCTTAGTGTCTTGGCTATGAGTTACAGCGCTAAGAGTCGCGGGTACCAATCCCGTATTGAACATATTATGTTTGCATGACCTACAAATAATTGTTTCGGGTCTGGATTTTTGTCTTTGTGCAATTTATGTACAGATGTAAACTTTCTCGACGATACACGGGAAAATCCGTGTGGGGCTACATTTATTTTAAAAAAAGTATACAATATACAAAATATACTGAGATTGTATTTCACAAATATTTATCACCGAATTAGATGGCTATAATAAATAGCTTTGCTTAACTTATTGGTACACATCGTGACATTTTAAGAGCAACTGTTTCAATTACAAATAAGGGTTATGTGTATTGCATTAGTAGAAAAGGATAAGACGCGGTAAAAGGGCGGAAGGATGAGAATAGGGAGGTAACTGTCATTTAATTCGCGGCCTTCCCTTGGTCGCAGTATACGGACAGTCACAAGAAAAAGTGTTTAGTGACATTTTTATATGCTTAGTCCTTATAACTGCATATTATGCATCATTTAAACGCAAAATCACTCCCACAGATTGTCTTATATGCGAAGTGCATTATAGTCTACGAAATATCTACTGCTTATAAAAGGTTTTTTACGTAGATTGCTTCATAGGAAGAATATTTAACATAGCTGCCACGCATGACAAGAGTGTTGACGACCTAGGTTAGAAAATTTAATCAGTCGTTATCAGGAAGGTGCTGCTGCCTATCTCCTAATTTGTTTCCCATTGTCACCTCTTACGACACCCACTGACTGTTATGGAGTTGTGTATATTCTTACACCGCCACTATACGATTACTGTACTACGGATTACCCTATATAACCTAACATAACCTTTCAAAAAAAACCACACGGGTCTCTCTCGTCAGGAGATTTGCTTTAATTGTCGCTTGGCACGCATGGATCATTAACTAGTGTGTTTATCAAATAGTGGCAGCAAAAGGATCAGTGTCTCTGTTTGTGTATACTTTTGTGGCAATATAGTGCTCTGCGTAGTTGTGCACTATACATATAAAGCCTAATAGGTAATACGGGTGGTTAAATATAAATAGGATTATATAAATATTAATATAGAACAAATAATTTGTTGGATTATATAAAAATATTGGTTCTAAATTAATATCACGTATTTATCCATATCGTATTTAATATGTGTATTGTTTTGTATCGGTAAATAGACACTTTTTTCCTTTCTTTTTTCAAAACATCTTTTGCATGGCAATGATCTCTTTCTACACACATTTTAAACAATTAAACATGGTAGAGCTAAAATGCAGCTTAATTCTGCTGTGTTGCGTAAGTTGAGTCTAGAGAATTGGAGACCCTATTTTTTAGAAACGAGCCATTCCATGTTTGTCCTGGGACATTGCATTTGTATTTGGATTATCAATCGAGAATAAAGTTTTTTATGGGCTACAGCATCCACTTAACATCATGGGACTGTGTGCTCGTTTGTCACCCTCATTTTATAAAAATAAATCATTTTTAAACAATTATGTGGGCGACTGTCCGAAGACGTTGTAACGGTCGTAAAACTGAAGACGTAGGGAGCCATCGGAGTGGCTAATGCGTGTATTGTGCCACCTCTCCGCCTCGTGTCGTGCTCCGTGTAGGGGCCACTGTATATCTTGAACCCAGTGGGTTTTTTCAAGGGAGTATTGAGAAAATTGTTTACTGTTAGAGAAATCTAAGTGCTATTCTGTAGAATTACCTTAAGTCTGCGCCTCTGAGGTTGTTATTACCCATATCGAAGTCACCAATAACCTAACGCGCTTGTCCATTGAGTCCAAAACTGCTAAGCGGCATTTTGTAGCACTATATCCAGACTAAACTTTGCTATCAGAAATTATCCTAGCTTGAAATATACCTATATTATAGTATGTATTGTATAAGCTTCCTTACGATGCCTTAGCCTCGAACTCAATAAGCCGCTTAAGGTGAAAAGGGAGATTCAGCTTTGTGCGACCCTTGTATTTTGGTGGCGTAGAATCATAATATCGGCATCACACCATTCGGAGACTGCTGTCAATGAGAGGCATGTTCTACCATGGCTTCTTTTTCGGACGACAGGGCCAGGTGTGCAGCTTTTCCTTCATAATTAATATAAAAAAAACAGACTTCTAAACCAAATAATAGCTTCAGAAGTCAATCCCGTATATTTTTATTTTATTTGTATTAAAGGTGCGCGCGATAGCTTCGTCAAATTTGAATCGAATTGATCCTTTTTTTTATAGAATATGATGACGATTTGGTAGTTGATTGCATATGCACATCTACGTTTATCTTCAATTAAGAATCAAAACGCAGATGCGTTGTGAATGCCTCGTTTCCAGTACAAAGGATCTGAGGTTCTCTACGCTCACCATACAAAACACAGCATCAATGAGCTGCTATGTTACGCTCATATTCTATGAGGGCGTGGTCCTATCTCGGTCGGTTCGACTTATTCGCAATACAACCATAATATAGCTGCAACGTGGTTCCAACACGTAAAAATTATTTTTCCATTACCATTTAAAATTGAATAAAAAGTTATATTTGTAAAGGTAAGGTAGATGACATTCTTGTTGTTTCCTTGAGATTGTGATATCACTTAGTCAACTCAAAATACCCACTTTAAAGAACTAAAATGAATAAAATGTTTGTGGCCACTACCCGTTGGTGTACGAGGTGTCAGAGGGAAACAGCCAGCAGCATCTTCCAACTCTCACTCAACTCAAAAATATAAAAAAAACTTCGGGTGCAAATTCGCCAGCCAGGCGTGGCAACTATGGCGAAATCCCCGCTAAGAGGAAACCTTTGGGGGAGCCCTATGTTCAGCAGTGGACTTTTGTAGGCTGTAATGGAATATCAACATATTTAATTAGGTTTTAAATTTGGGTCTTTGATTCTTCGATACCCTATGTTATAGCACCGACTTCAAAAGTTATTAAGTTGTGTGGAAATTATTTTATTCTTTTTAGTTCTTTAAAGTCGGTTTTTGCTATTGTAGATTATCTTTTTTTGTGAATACATCTCTAGTTTAAAAAAATATATTCCTTCACAATTTTTGAGGTGAAAATTAAATAATATGTACTATCTATTACAAAATATTTGTTCCCTCTTATTCCCCTCAACCAGACCCGCAGAAGGTACTTTAGCCAAGAGGTCTCGATACATTAACGAGGTCCTTGCGCGCTAGGGCTGCTCGTTCTCGGGGGACTCTTAACTGCCCTTTTACGAGCTTTTGGCATTGGTGACTATTTCTCTTCGATGTTTATATTTGGGAAGGTTATTATTAGAGCGTTCCCTTAGACTAGGTGCATTCATATTTAATTATGCTGAATATTGACTATAAATACCAATAAAGATAAAGTGTTTGTCTGTAGTATCGAAAATATCTGCCTAATATTAAGCTGCTGGGGGGGGGGGGGGGGTATTTGCATGCCATTAGTAGACAACCATTTTTTATTATTTGTCTATCTGTCTAATAAAACTTCACGAACAGTTATAGTGTAATGCCAGGTGTGATCGAAGGGAAATATTATCCGAAAATAACTTTTTTTTTCAAAAACATTAAATTGTTAATCAAATAGTGATTTATTTAGAGTCTAGATAATATCCAGGCTAAATCCGCCCTGATTTCGCTAGTAGGTAATAAATGTTTTTATTTTAATAAAAACTTTAAAAATTAGCTCTAGTTAAGTCCGAATGCAAGCCAAAATCAATGTTTTTGGAACACATAACGCTTTTCTCTTAACGCTTTGTAACGGTGTACTTCCTACTTAAATTTTTACGATCTTATTGCACTACATTTACATGGGTCACACAGTAAGGTGGGCACAGGTGATAGTCGCGTACGCTTGTTCGCGCGAGTACACTTGCAGAAAAAATTATTTTATTTTGTAAATAAAATATTTTCACTAGGTGGTAAGATTTCTTTTCTGTCCAGGAGTCTTGTCTGGGCAGATACCCTATTATCTACCTATTACTGCCTTCAACTAGTAGTGTCTGCGCGGCGGTGTGTTATGGTCTCAAGGGTACAGATATCCAGTATAGTGACAGGCTGCGAGGCATTCCATCTTACTCCTCGGATGTGACAACGCATCGGTAGCCTTGTTTCTTTGAAGTAGGCTTCGGGTGACATAGAGCTGCACTAGCAGCTTACCAGTACGTTGACAGTTATTTGATGTGTCACTTTAATATTATAAAAAACACAACACATTTAATTGTTACACATTTTGTTTTCATATAATAACACTAATGTATTTGTGATGTTCCACTCTTACCTTGCTACGTATATGTAAAGTCGCTTTGTGCACGCCAGTACGGCGTGGCGGCGACATCGTGCGCGGCGGCGAACGGCCACCACCAGCCCGACCGCCGCCACCACCACCATTACCAGCACCACCAGCACGCAGACGTCCCGCCGCAATGGGTGAGAGGGCGTTGTTGTCACGTTGTGTGTAGACTCGTGCACTGCTAGCATAAGTGAAGCGACCGCATCTACATTTATCCTAAATTTAACTATGTAGTACATATTCATATATCCATTTGGAAATGCCGAAATAAATACCGAACAGCTGATAGGCAGCGTTATTAGTACAAAGGTGTTGGTTGCCCGATTACACGGCCTCAGTGGGTTTTGGGCGAATCGATTGAATTTTGCAATAACGTATTTTGAAAAGGCGTATCTCCAAATATGCATATATAGTAAAGTTACAGTAATAGCATATAAGTCTCACTACTAGATAGAGGCATCATCTCATTTTTGATAAGGTAATGAAGCCATTACTATGCCGTACTACTCTAATACGTTTTGTACGGACTTCACAGTCTCAATTTTTTTCTGAACAGCGTAGGACAATTATAGGACATTAGACGTAGGACAACAATAGGTAGTAAAATTCCAACTACCAGTTCCTATGATGTCGGCGGGAATGATGATTTTTTGATTTACAAATTTTGGCAGTTACTCAGATTATTTAGCAACATTATAATCAAGTCAAGTAACATTAGCTTCAGAATATCTGCACCACTATAATATATAGTTTATAGAGACCTTAAACCCGACAATATTTTGGTTGATGTCAATAGCTGCACCAAATCCACACAGATCTTTACTATAGTTTATAGTAGTTCTGAATATGTGTAACAAAATTAAACAAATTTTTGGTGACATTTTTTGTCTTCAAATCGAAACATATGTAAAAATGTAGTTTGAAATCCTGAATAACGTTTTCTTCAGTCATACTCATACTACTGCAGAAAATCAGGCATTAAAGATATTCCATTTCGAACAAAATTCACATCAGACTGGGCTGTATGGTATTAGAACTTTACCTGCCTCAAATCGTTACAACAACAACCAGTCAACATAATTTTCAATTATGCATAAATAGAGTAATTCCTACTATAGACGGAATCCTAAAATAACGCATTAGTACATTGAGACGAGTCTTGTGAATAAAATACACATCAGACTAGACTTATACCATACATAAGACCTTTGCTTGCCTTTATTGGCGAATCGTAACAACTATAACAACTAGTCAAATTAGTTGTAAATTATGTATGATGATTTTTCCCAGACTTCGATAAGCTTTCGATTTTCGATAACTGGCGATAAGCTTGAATAGATAAAACATGGTAAATTATTTTATTGATATCTGTAACGATAGCTTAAGTAGACACTTTTCTCCACCAACAATTTTTCACCATTGTCTTTACGGAAAAAATGTAGATGCGTGTTTCTACTTACGAAGGCAGTGTACTAGTGTAGTGTTGAGTGTTGGCGCACTCGCTGTAGGTGTAGTTGTTGTAGACAGCGCCAGTGCCGTCGTCCGACTCTCGAGCTTTTTGTGTTGTTTTCCGTGCTGTCTGTTTGTATTTCACGTTGTGCGTTTCCTTCACGTTGTGCTTCATTGTTTTGATTCTGCTCTTTTTTTTATTCTGTTTTGCTTTATAGTTAGAAACGTCGTCCACAGGTATGTCTTTTCAATTAATCTACTTATATTCCTGTCTTGATATTTGATATTTTATAAAATGTTTGACAGTAGTTATTGGTCAATATAAGAGTTTATGTTAAGTTTATAATTTCAGCACATAAGGCGTCAGGACCAGATTAAGCTAAAGGGAAATATTGCCAACTACTTAAAAGCCTTGGGTCGATCAAGCGGCCCGCGGCCTTAAAAATACACTTAATTACGTGATTTTGGAAGTTAGAAAGGGAAGTGATCTGACCAGAAATAAATACTTCTTCATTAATATTTATTTCTGGTCATTTGATTATAAAATAGAATATTGTGTACATACCTATGTAAGTAAGGAGGAGGAATTAGGTATTTTTATTTTTTCTAATTTTTAATAATTATCATTAATAATGTCCTTCAGATAGAATTTCGGTCACGGCGGCCAATCAGAAAGGAGACTAGCCATCTGAGCAGGACAGAATCACAGTGCCCAATTGTATGGGCGCATACAGACGCACTCTCTATTCTCTCACTCTCATAGTACGATAGACGGTAATCTGACACGACCGGAGAGAGATCAGGCGCAGGACGGCTCCTGATCCCGGGCTGCTATTGAGAATTTCTTTACAGAAAAACCTAATAACTGATTTTATCCCATACCGGGATCGATCAGGTGAAGTAGGAACGGTGGCTGAGAATTTCTTTACAGAAAAACCTAATAACTGATTTTATCCCATACCGGGATCGAATCCAGGACTTATTGAACAGCAACCGCTTTTAAGACCATGGGACCAACTAGGCAGTTATTATAGCCATGTCAACCGCAATCGTTACTTCCTATCATTGATTGACCGATTTTTAAATCTAAAGAACTATGTATATAGAATTTAGTGTAAGTGGATACTGCTATGTTATTCTGCTAATCCTTCGTTGTTTGATTCTCCTGGTTGCCCGGAACCTCTTGAGTGTGAATTGACCACATGCAAATATGCGTCTTCAAATAATTTTTTTGTTACATTTTTATACATTTACCGCAGCCGAAATCCGTAAATAGTCTATTGTAGGATGTAGTTTCAACACGCGACTCGGCGATCGTAATACCAGATCTCTCATACTGTTGAAGTTGCTGATCTTCGTTAATACGGGTATTTTAGATCTGATTTATACGATATAATTGTCCTGTCGTCCGCCACAATAATATCTTCTTGTCGTTAACTTTTAAATGGTACTAATGAGGCGAGAGGAGTATACAACCGGTTCGAAGGACCAAAGTGCTGTAGGTCACTGATAGATATGACTGGATGTTTTTAAAAATGTTGATGAGAGCAGTATGCAGTCAATTTGGCTCCTTTAATTGTACTATCTTTAATTCTTTCACACGCGACTCGGCGATCGTAATACCAGATCTCTCATACTGTTGAAGTTGCTGATCTTCGTTAATACGGGTATTTTAGATCTGATTTATACGATATAATTGTCCTGTCGTCCGCCACAATAATATCTTCTTGTCGTTAACTTTTAAATTGTACTAATGAGGCGAGAGGAGTATACAACCGGTTCGAAGGACCAAAGTGCTGTAGGTCACTGATAGATATGACTGGATGTTTTTAAAAACGTTGAGAGCAGTATGCAGTCAATTTGGCTCCTTTAATTGTACTATCTTTAATTCTTTCACACGCGACTCGGCGATCGTAATACCAGATCTCTCATACTGTTGAAGTTGCTGATCTTCGTTAATACGGGTATTTTAGATCTGATTTATACGATATAATTGTCCTGTCGTCCGCCACAATAATATCTTCTTGTCGTTAACTTTTAAATTGTACTAATGAGGCGAGAGGAGTATACAACCGGTTCGAAGGACCAAAGTGCTGTAGGTCACTGATAGATATGACTGGATGTTTTTAAAAATGTTGATGAGAGCAGTATGCAGTCAATTTCGCTCCTTTAATTGTACTATCTTTAATTCTTTCGTTATTTTTTATACATGCGTTGTCTCCTGTACCCTGAAGACGGATTTTTTTGTAAACCATATATATACACAATCCAAAGGGGAAAGGAAATAAAATAAAATGAATGATTTTTTATTCAATATAGATTATACCATAACATGTTTTGAAAGTCATTTTTTTATTTACCTCTAGTTCGATAAATACCTCTATCCTGGGAAAAACCAGCAAGAAATCCAGACTTTTTTTTAAAACATATTGCACTTAATTTATAAATAAATTTTCATAGAACCAGCATAGTGGTGATCACCTCATTCCCAGGGGTTATTTTCATTTATGTATTATTTAATATTATAATTTTGTAAAAATTCTTTAATAAAATATTTTAAACATTTTTTACTGACAAATTTTGTAAATTTTCTGGGACTTTGTTGTAAAAGCGTATACATTTCCCCATAAAATGAGCTACTGATTCTGTGGAGTCTAGTAACTGGTATTACAAGCTTATGTTTGTCCCTAGTGTTTAAAGTATGAACATCTTTATTCTTATGAAAGCTATTTATGATTTTATGTACATATATTACATTTTCATAAATATGTTGCGATGCCAAAGTTAATATTATGTTTACTTCTTGAAATTTTTCTTTAAGAGACTCTTTACAATTTAAGTTATAAATTACCTGTACGGCTCTCTTTTGCAAAAAAAAAAATGGCTTCAATGTTAGTCGCATTACCTCATAGCAAGATTCCATAAGACATTACGCTAAGAAAGTAACTAAAATAACTTAATCTAGCTGTCTCAACATTGGTGAGACTATTAATCTTTCTTACTGCCTATGATGCATAACTAATTCTGCCTGCTAGTTTAGACATATGGGGCCCCATTGAAGCTTCGCGTTAATATTAATACCAGGAAAAATAGTAGTATCCACAAGACTCAACTCCTCCCTACTACAGGAGTTATTAAAGTCCACTACTGAACATAGGTTAATTAATTACTAACATCACTTATCGCTTTGCTTTTGTTCATCCTCCAGATGTTCCGTGTAGATCAAATACTAGAACACTGTTAAGATTTCCGTCTTTCAATATAATGCTCTATTCTCATTCTTTTACTGTTTATCGTGACGCTAAGTTGTGGTGTCTATTTTTAAAAGACTTGTCAAAGAGCATTATCATTCACACCATAATTATTAATTCGTGATGTGTAGATATTCATATATGTAACATTAAAAATATAATATATTGAATTATATTTTTTTCTTATAACATATTATAATTGTATTTTATATTTATGTATATATATATATATATATATATATGTGTATGTATGTATGTGTATATATATGGAGGTTGGTATATTTGTATTGTATTGTATATTTTAATAAAGTGCACACTTTGACTTCCTCTATTTCCTTCAACTATCCTTCGATAGACCTGCTGGAAGAGATTTCTTTATGGAATAAGCAGTGCCTTTGTACATAATTTTGTTTTTACCATTTTCCTATCAAAGTATGTGTGTACATAAACTGTTAAATAATAATAATAGGTCTCCAATATAGACTGCCTCATAGAGGAGGTTGCTGTTGCCCCATCTTCTGATTTGTTTCCCTGTATTACGACACCCACGGGATGATATAAGGTAATGGATATTTTTACTCCGCCACTACAAGGTATCCACAGCGGTCAAATCTCTCATCACTTTCTTGTATAGTCTATAATAAACATAGAAGACAACATTTTTCTGTATATATTTTTGTGTGTAGTCTCTTTGTAAGTCTGCAGAACAATTAAATTTTGCATTTTAATGACCTTACACTATGTAGGTATTACACTTTACTATTTCATACGTTCTTGTCAGCAGGTTGGTGAGGTGAAAATGTTCCAAAACGTGTGATAGTAGTGTAAAAAATACACACGTGTACTGTTAGGTAGTGTCGATGCCCTCGCGAAAGACAATTGTATTGATAGTGGTATCGTTGGGCCCAAGACACGTGCTCTATCATCGGTCACTTGGTAACCTTACGAAACTTCTCGTGTTGTTGCGTATTGCAAACTCAAGGCTTGCGTTTCGATTGCTTTATCTGTGCAAGCGAGTCCATAGCCATGGTGTACGGAATTAAAAATGTAAACACTTCTTTGCATTCGAACTATAGCACCACATACAAGTTTGTTTATACTAATAGTTAGGACTTTTTTTTAAATGCGAGCATCTATGCAGGTCTAGGGAAAGAGACCAGTATCACTGCGACCTAGAAGATTTATTGTGACAGCTGCTATGGCTATAGTTCACGGCTAAGCCCTATGTCTTCAATGAATAGAAGGAGTTGCTTAGCCGTGAGCAATTTCACTTCTTCTGGGCGGAGTAGATAGTGTCCCAGATGAGTGTTACGTTTGCGCATTAAGGGTCCGCAATCAGTTAGGATGTGTAGAGGCGTTTCTTCCGTTATGGAACAGAACCGACACATCCTTGAGTTGCTTAGTCCCAGGATGGATATGTGCTTTTTAAGACAACAGTGTCCAGTTTGGGCTCTTGCCAGAATGCGTAATTTATTTTTACTTAATCCCAGGGCTAGTAAGGACTTACGAAATATATCAAATGTTTATTACAGACCAGGAAATCAATATATGTAAGAACAAAACTTACATATATTTATTTCCTGGTATTTTCATATATTTCATAATTATTCCTCGTCCTCACCGTGTAGGTAGGTACTAGTGGCGGTGTAAGAATATTCGCCACCAGATTTTATCCCGTGGGTGTCGTAAAAGGCGACAGAGGGAAACAAATCAGGAGATGGACACCAGCGTCTTCTTAATAACGAATAAATAAAAATGCCATCAAAAACATAACTTGTAAAAAAATCCGAGTCTCGCAACTCAGTTCTTCTACCGTAAAAAGTTGTGAGATCCATGTAATACCAAGTCGGTTAATTTATTCAGTCCTTATTTAAGGGTCCTTCTGGTTTAAGTTATTACGTACTTAGCTAACCTAACAACATTTTATATTGACCATATCAATGTTAAAAATCTTTTTATATTTCAAATAAATAGATTATTGACTTGGCCATCGCATGAAAACACAATGTATCTCACAAGTAATACATATTATATTAAATTAGATTGCTTAGTGCGATTGCCATTGTGTCTTGTGCGCGTTTCTGTGTGTGCTTACCATTATTCTATTTAAAAATATCGTTATGATGGCAACTTTAAGAGTATTTTAATTACCGAAGTATGTGATTTGTAACTTTTTACACAAGGAAGGATTGCACACGGGCACACAGTTCATCTGATAGTAAGGAATGCTGTGTTCTATAAAAACCTATTATATATATTTTGTTATATATAATATATACCATTATCAGGCCAGCTACACATTTTGGCCATAACTCGCCTAGCGAAGACGAGTACCGACGTATAGACAGCCCATTTGTCTAGCCTAGGGCTGCCATACGTCCCGGTACACCGGGACATGTCCCGGTTTGAAGCGTTGTGTCCCGGTGTCCCGGTCAACAGGTCATTTGTCCCGGTGTGCACACAATTCGCAAGCTACCCCTGTGTAGTTAAGTGCAGCGTCTGCGATCGGCGAGTGGTTGAAGTGGAGCGGAGTCGAGCGAGCGAGCCTAGCTGCCTTCTTTGATTATTAACACGTGCGCGTAGGGTTGCCAACTTTTTCAAAGGAAAATAACGTATATTCCTTTCAGACGGTTATATACACTATAATTATTACTATTCCACCGAAACAACAAACGTTGAGCATAGAGTACAGAGTACAATATATACTGGAGACATTGACTGACACTTGACTGTACTGACAGTACAGATTTTTCGAAAGTTGTATGATAATGTATTTTGTTGTTATTCTGTTCTGTGTATGTGTGAAAGTATAAAATGATTGGAAATTCTGAGTAATGGACTGAGTTAAATTCAGAAATTTGGCAGAATTCTTTCTTTCATTCAATTCACACAATATTTCACGCATAAGTTAGAATAAAGTATTTTAGATACTTTTTTCTTATTCAAAAGTATAAAGTATAATCAAGCAAAATACCGTAAGATACGTTATTTTAAAGTATAGTTGGCAACACTACGTGCGCGTCCCGCGCCGCGTGCCCCTCCGCCCTCGCGCCTTGAACGTCACGCGTCGTCGCAGTGTTTCGTTTGATTGCTTTAGAGAACAACGTACTTAATTTGCGCTGCGCGTTATCCTGTATTTCGTAGTTTAGTTTTTTTATTGCCAGTCTGGTATTTTGCTAAAAAGTCATGCCAAAAAGAAAGTGTTTGTTTTCGGACGATTATACTAAAGAGTGGTCATTCATTAAAAGAGGAAGAAATGATTATGAAGCCTTTTGTTCAATTTGCGGCTTTCATATATCTGTCAGTCACGGCGGTAAGTCAAGTGTCAAAGACCATATCCAAAGTAAAAATCACAAGACGAAATTATCAGTTGCATCAACTTCTAGAGATATATCGACATTTATGATCACGCAATGTACTGCCGAAGACATGTTAATATGCGCTGCCGAACTGACCACAGCTTATAAAGTCGTAAAGCACCACCAATCGTTTAGCTCTTTAGATTGTACGACAAAACTGAATGCCGTAATGTATCCTGATTCAAGTATCGCAGCAAAACAATCAACTGCAAGAACAAAAGCTACTGCTATCATTAAACACATTTTAGCTCCACACTCGATCGCGCAAATTAAAACAGAAGTCGAAAAAGTTCCTTTTTACGGCATTTCAACCGATTCTAGCAATCACGAAGCCGAAAAGTTATTTCCACTGCTGATACAGTACTTTACGGAAAAAGAAGGACTGCAAATTAAATTACTAAAAATAGACTCATTGCCGAATGAAACATCTGATACAATCACTTCATTTTGTATAAAATCGTTGCAGGATCAGAACATCCCCGTACAAAATATTGTTGCTTTCAGCGGGGATAACACAAACACTAACTTTGGCGGAAGAGATAGGTACGGAGTTAACAATGTTTTTTTTAAATTAAAGGAGATTTTGTCCAAAGACATTGAAGGCATCGGTTGCCCAGCGCACATTCTGCACAATACAGCGTCCACTGCTGCCGATGTGATGTCGATTGACGTGGAGTCTATTGTTCTGAAAATTTTCAAGTATTTTTCCATATTCACTGTAAGAGTGGAACGGCTTAAAGATTTTTGTGAGCAAGCAGCAATAGAATACAACAATATACTCTCACATTCCAGAAGTCGGTGGCTTTCACTACTTCCAGCAATTGAACGCATACTAAAGTTATGGCTGCTATTGAAAGAATTTTTCGCTAAGGAAGCAAAAGCCCCAAAAGCTGTAGTCGATTTTTTTTGCTGATCCCTTATCAGAAGTTTACACACTTTTTGTGCACAGTCAAGCATTTCTGATTGAAAAACAAATTAAAAAGATTGAAAAATCAGTTATTACCATTGTTGAAGTGAAAAATGTATTACAGGATACAAAAAAACAGTTGAGTGACAGATTGATAAATAAATATTTAGGCAATCAAACAACACAACTTTATAACAAACTAAAGAATGAAGGCACAATTAATACAAGTCAATCCGAAACATTTGACAAAGAAACAGGAGATTTCTTTAACACTGCTATATGTTATCTCGAACAGTGGACAGAGCCGATGACAAAATTTGATGTTTTCGCTTGGATGATTTTAAATGATATTCCTCAATGGCAACAAGTAGAAGAAACTACAAAATATTTAAATGAAAAGGATATAGGAATAGAAGATTCAATGTATGAAGAATTTATGTACTTAAAATCGTTTATTGAATGTGAAATCAGCGATGAATGGAAAGCTAAAAATATGGAAGCAAAATGGAAACACTTTTTTTGAAAAAACCGAAGAACTGGAAAGAAAAGCAAATCTTCTTAAAATGTGTCAATATATTTTTGCAATCCCAGGCCACAATGCTCACGTAGAACGAGTGTTTTCGTTAATTTCAGCGCAGTGGACGAAAGAACGAAGTTCACTCAGTGTAAGCACAATCGAAAGCATCATTCAATGCGTTTATAATTATAAAATGTCATGCACGGAATTATATAATTACGTCAAAGGGGAAAAGGAATTACTGAAAAAGGTTAAAAGTACAGAGAAATATGAATGGGCAAAAAAAAAGGACGTAGTGTAAGAGTTTCTTATTTTTTGATTAAATTTTCTTAAATATTACCAGTGTTTTTGTATAATCCATGATTTACCCTATTTCTGTTCTAAATGTCCCGGTCGGCGTCTCGGAATTTATGGCAGCCCATTTGTCTAGTCTCGACATTGCTCGTCATCGCTCGGCTAGTGCCTAGCCACCCGAGTACAGGCGAGCGCCAACGTGTTTACGTTTCATTTGACGTGCCTTGCCACCACTCGGGAACGCTTGCCACGACTCGTCTCTCTTCGAAATAGTGTTGGTTTTTCTGCACAAATCAAAGCTGCTCGTCTTCACTTGGCAAGTCATGTCGTTATTTTATTCGGCCATGTCGTTATGTTCGCTCTTCCAAGCGTGGCCAAAATGAAGTCTATAGCACTCGTCTTGTATCAATTTGCGGCTTGACCAACGTGTATTGCCGGCCCTAAGGATCAAAATGCAAAATTCGTTATCACGACCTAGGACTAATATGGGATAGAATACCAGTAGAAAGCTTCATCATTATGCAGTTATTTTACGCTGGTGTACTAAGAACTGGTATATTGAGGGCGTGGTGACTTTTTGCTTGGGTCGACCCATTTGCGCTGCAGTCATAAGATTCTACTTGACTCTACCACGTATAAAATCAAACGCTATTTCATAAAATCAAACTCTAAACTATATTTTGTAGCGATTTGAATGATATTACATATCTACGGTATGATGCTGCGATCTGTCAAGATAAACTTAGTTTGAGCAAATCAGGCTTAATTAGGTAATATTGCAAGAGCCAAGGCTCACGGTTCATAGCAGCGGCGGTGCGGCCCCTGAGCGATGCCGTTGCGGTGCTCCTACAAAAATAAAAATTCCTGAAACCACACACAGCTCGGTGAAAAGTTAATAGTTCAGACTTGCGATTCTATCTCTAATGTCACGTCACGCGCATTTTTACCGTTACCGTTACAGCCTATTAAAGTCCACTGCTGAACGTAGGTTTCTCTCATAGATTACCTCTTAGAGGGAATGTTTGCCACAGTTGCCACATCTGACAAGCGTGTTTTTTATTTATAGTCGTTATTAGAGACGCTGCTGCCCGTCTCCTGATTTGTTTCTCTCTGTCGCCTCTTGTGACAAACATGGAATGATATGGGGTGTTGGATACCGTCAATACACGGTAGGCGCGGTTTACGTGACGTGGCAATTCAGGAAACTAATGATAACAAAATCTGGGGTTACAGTTTGTTGTTGCAGCTACATATCTATCATCTACTTTTTAGTTTACATCACTTGGTAGCTAAAGATTCAAAGAATTCGTTACGTTGAGTGAGAACTGTCGCCGCATTTTGAAGTCGTTTTTTATAATTCATATAATTTCCGTTCAGAATAAATTTACGTTACGTTGACGTATTAACGTACAACACACGGCCGTGTCCACGACACAGCCACACCCCGTTTTGCAAAATCTTTCCTTGCAGTCGGCCGAGAAAGGTCCAAACTATATAAATGTCCTCCTTTGTTACCCTTTAATTCCTTAAAAAAAAATATTTTATGCTTTGAAATTATTGCCGTCCGTCACCGCACCGCTCCCGCAACGCATCTTATGTGTTTGCTCTCAACTCAAAAATTGTGTAAATATTATCACACATTAACATTTAAATTACGGTCGCGTAGAGGTGCATTTTTTATATAACGGGGTCCGAGCGTCTTCCGTTGAAATGAATCTTCAGTAATCTTGTTGTGTATCAATAAATCGTATCGGTGTAATAAAATTACATTTGAATGTATTTTAAAGCGTGTTTTAACGAACTGGTTTGATTTTGTGGCCGATTAATGTGTTTCATGGGGACAAGCTTTAATTGCTATGGAATTAACGTCTAAATAATTGTACGGAAATGGCCCTTAAGACAAAAAATTATGAAAGTCGATGTTATGCGCTACAAACTTCAGTTTCTTTGCTTATTTAACAGTTCAGTTGAACTAATTAGATACATTTTAAACTGCAATTAGATTTTTATCAATTACAGCACAAGTTCGCGAGTTTAGTTAAGGAAATGTCCATACACTTTGATATATTCTACCAAAAACAAAAATGAAACGACTAGCCAATTTCGTTTTGTAGATTGCCAACTCCTTCGATTGCGTCACCACAAATCCCAATACCACTACACTAGGAAAGACACCACTGTCGATAATACGACACGCTTTTCGCCTCTAAACGAGACATCATCAGTAAAAATAGACTCTGTGATGGGTAAGCCATCCCCATCAGATCGAACCGCAATTGCACAGCAGTGCACTGCTATTTGGCAGCATAAATCGGTAAGACTACCGCGACGGGCGCCTTGGTAAAACTGGAGTGGTATTTACTATGCCGTTTGGTTCACTGGAAGAGAATCTGTCATTCCATTCCGTGGATGTCGTGTCTTTTATGACACCGACGGGAAATGCCCGACAAAACTTACGTCTTACTTCATATGACGGTATATCTATCTCGTTTATGCCAAATTTAAAATATCCAAACCGGCAATGGGCAGCAGCGAAAAGAAGCGGACTTAGTGGCTAGTCACCGCAGAGTCTACTCCTGAGGATGAATCGTGTAGATGCGAAACACGTGTGGTATTATCGACGGTGGTGTGTATTTCACAGTGTAGCGGTATGGGAGTAGGGGTGTTGGGATTAGTGGTGACGGGGACAGTGCACGCAATTGAGGTAGGGTGGGAGGAGGTCTTCAAAGCGACAAAGAAGTAAGAGGTCTGGTACCAGACACCTGCCAGTAGCTCCTCCTTGCAACAGATTAGGCCCATGTCCCGCAGTGGACTTCATATGAATACGAAGAAAATATGATATACGTATCAGTTATAACGCCATGTCGATCTTGCATTTCGAAGCATATAAAAGCTTTGTTGTAAATAAGAAATCTTTGATAGATAAGATAAATTCTACACAAACACGCCACTGTAACTGTCTTCCATACTTTATTCCTTCAGTCGTTTAGCTAAATGCAACACCGGGACTATCTAGTGAGCTGTATTTTTCTTAAATCATTATCCCAGGTTTTGGTGTAAGTGAGAAAAGTTGGGTCGAGACAAAGCAGTCATGAATCCCCTGTATTCCAGCCGCATTGAGTCTGCACTCTTGTAACTGTCCCTAGTCGAATTGTCTGAAGCTTTTTTTTGACCTTTGATGAAGTAAAAGTGTGCATATCAAATCTTACCTTTTTTGTTTCGTTTACACGCCAATTTGCTCATCATCATCATCATCATTACAGCCCTTCACAGGTCCACTGCTGAACATAGGCCTCCCCCAATAATGCCACAAAGCACGGTCCTGAGCCACCTGCATCCATCGACTTCCTGCATATCTTACCAGGTCGTCACTCCATCTAGTGGGGGGTCGCCCTACAATACGCCTACCGGTACGAGGCTGCCACTCGAGAACTTTTCTTCCCCATCGGTTATCGGTTCTTCGAGCTATATGGCCGGCCCATTGCTACTTCAGCTTACTAATCCGTTGGGCTATGTCGGTCACTCTGGTTTTACTGCGGATATCTTCATTATGAGTTTATCACGCAGAGAAACTGCGAGCATAGCCCTCTCCATAGCTCGCTGAGCGACCTTAAGCGTCCTCATACGGCCAGCAGTGAAGGACCACGTCTCAGATCCGTAAGTCATCACTAGCAACACGCACCGGTACACTTTAGTTTTCAGAGATTGAGGTATACCTGACGAGAAGATGTGTCGTAATTTCCCGAACGCTGCCCAGCCGAGTTGAATCCGTCGATTGACCTCTCGGTCGAAGTTGGACTTACCTAGTCGGCCTATTTGTCCCAGGTAAACGTACTCGTCAACAACTTCGAGCATAGTTATCCATTATATTAAAGATATTATAAACTAATAACCTAAGATCCGATCTGATTTTTGTCAACATATTGCTTGCACTTCCGCGAAGGTTATAGGCATAGTTGGACCCGGCAGGTGGCGCTGTTGTGGAATCCAGATATTACCTGTGCAAAGCCGGGGCAAATCGTTAGTAATAATTACGAGGGTGGATTGAAAAGTACTCGGCCTAACCAAGAAAGTAAACACATACTAAATCAGTTATATTTTTATTTTTCTACATAATCACCATCAAGTTCAATACACTTTTGCCACCTCCCCTTCCAAGCATTTAGACCGTTGAAAAAAAATGATTCTTCCTTAGAGTCAAAATATGCGTCTACAGCTGCTTTGACCTCGTCGTTTGTCGAAAATCTTTGACCTCCCAAGTGCTTTTTTAGGTTAGGGAACAGAAAGAAGTCTCATGGTGCCAGATCAGGTGAAAACGGCGGATGCGGTAACAGTTCAAAGCCACAGTTGTGAATTTCAGCCATTGACTGTACTGACGTGTGAACACGGGCGTTATCTTGATGAAACAGGACTTTTCTTCTGAGCATTCCTCGACGTTTTTCTTTTATTTCCTCTCGTAAACGACGTAGTAAGGTGCAGTAGTAATCAGAGTTTATAGTCTGACCCCTTTCAAGATAATCAATCATAATCACACCTTTCGAGTCCCAGAATACTGAAGCCATCACCTTATTTGCCGACAAAATCGACTTAGCCTTTTTAGGGGTGGTGAACCAGGTCTTCTCCACTGTTTTGATTGTTGTTTTGTTTCCAGTGTACAGTAATGAACCCATGTTTCGTCCATAGTAACAAAACGATTCAAAAAATCATCTGCA